CTCTATAGCCTCGTTTTTAAGGTAGTTTTGGTGAGGCCGCGCGCGCACTTTGTGGTGGGGCTAGTTAAATCCCACAAACATTCTGATGTAAGCTAAGAACATCAACAAAGACAAAGTGGCAACTGAAACGAGCAGTTGGCGCTGCACAAGGATGGAAGGGCTAGCGGCTGCTAGTTCATCCCTCTTACCTCATTCGGGCTAAAACAAACACGCTCGACGATCGTTCTCCTTTTAGAATCTGCTGCTTTCAACAGCTTTTCCAAATAGGCAGTTTCCAGAGCACAAGGTTAGCCAAGGATACTTGCAATGCCTAGCTTGTTTCTTAATTGGTCTTCATTCGCTCCATCCAGAGATGGACACTAGCTTGTTGCAAGAATGAGAAATGCCTAGTTTGTGCTGGCATGCTGCGTGTACCTTGAAGCATATCCAGCAAATCTGAGAGCAAAGTTGAGTCGCTGTCACCACATGAGATTGTGTGGGGAACCGAGTGCATACAAGACTTGTTTCAATCAATAGTTATTCATGTGAAGGCATGCATTGAGCGAAGCAAAGCTGCAAGTAACCAGAGAGTGGCACTGATGGGGATACACTTGGTGTTCTCGCCTACTTGCTACCAAAACGATGTATGAAACTGAACACCGTCAAGCTCAAGCTGAATTTGGCTTGCGGAAAAAGCTACGGGTGAGATAATCTTGATGTTGCAACAGCGGATAATACCAGCATATCATATGTTATCCCTCTTCGGTGAGCGACTGGTTCATGTATAAACATCTACGCAGTAGTAGTAGCAAGGCATTGGACGACAAAGACGAAGGCTGCGAGAATAGCTATGAAATTCTCAAGAATAAGCAAAGTGAGACGAGCGTGTTACCGAGGAAGCAGCGAGCGTAGGGACCGGTAAGCATCCGAAATGCTGATCTGCGGTATTAGTCAAGGTAATCCAATGGATCGGGGCGGCATTTACCGCAAAACCAACATCGGAGTGTGTATGCGAGCATCGGTCTTGGTAGAAGCTATGATTTCGATGGCATTCGATGGCATCTCAATTGACACGCCTTTCTATGTGCTTCTGACCATTAGTTGGCATTGAAGTATCGAACAGTCTCCTTGAAAAGCTACCTGAACATACAAAAGTCACACCATCTAGTCTGCTTTTCCAAAATACTCTCACCGCTAACAATCTCCTCACTCTACGCATCTCAAGCCACTGCATTGATCCGTCTCCAGCACGGCCACATCATGAACTATAATGAAATCGAGTATCCTAATCTGCTCTTCCGAAAGCATCCCACCGCCAACAATCTCATCACTCTGCTCTTTCCAATTCATCCCACCACTCCGTTCCCAACACGACCACATCTCGAACTATAATAAATCGTGTATAAAAAGGACATCATCGTACCTCGTGTTTTCTGCAGCTCTCTACTCTACCAACCACAGCAACTTGACACAAAATACCTTTTCAGAAGCAGCAAAATGCAGTTTTCGCTATCATACCTCATCCTCGCGTCTGTCCTTGCATACAGATCTGCAGCACAATCTCCACCATACGGATCTACAGGACAATCTCCACCATACTATGTATGGCACTCCCGAAAGCTTTGTTCGCACCCAGTACTGCAGCTAACATGGGCCTAGGGAAAAGTAAACCACAATGTTGACGGCGTGCCATTTTGCAGCACATCTTCTGGCACTTGGAGGTGTCGCGTAAGTGACCAACAGCCCATGGAAGAAGCCAGTTTTGCAATCATAATAACCTTTAATTCCCACAGTTGGATTTTAACGACGGCAATAACTGCCGAGTTTGGCACGACAATGTGTATGCCGACTACTGTTAGACTGGGGGCTGGCGAGGACGTTGATAGATCTTCAAGGCCAACAACGAACACGCATCTTTATAGAAAGAAACGCGGTAGAAATGGAGGATCTCATATACATGGACATGATTAGTACATGGTTTAGTGCATAATATTACTATATTATCTACAGTGTTGTGGAATCCGCTGCGATAGTGTCGAAAGCACCCTCAAAGCCCAAACACTACGGTACCCTGTTTTCACAAAGAGAAAAAACTAAGCTGCTTACGCATGCCATTGAGGGAATACGTAATTAGTAACAACGGTGCAATTGGCCTTGTTTGCGAAATGCCTCAGATAAGCACTAAATAGCTCGGGGGTTAAAAGTGCTGACAGCCATGCGTAGTGCTTGGTAAGTTTTGTTCAAATAAGAAAAGAAAGACTATTTGGAGTATAGTCTACCGCATGTTACTTACCCGTTCGGCAAAGGGTTCCGAGAGAGAATCGGAGTTCCGTCATACCCATCAAACCGCCGCATGCAATTCGGACTCTTCTTCCGGTTACGAAATCATAAATTGATTCATTCGATACGAATCAGGTGTTCGTATAGCAGCAGGGAGAGCAGGTATGTTACAAGATACTATTCCGGGCCTGAGAGTACTCAACACTAGTTCTATTGAATGTCGAGAGCTTAGGCGACGACTGGATTGTATGTGAGTCGTCAGAGCTACAAGTAGACGTTACGTACAAGAATCACGTGTATTGATAATACTAGCCATACGCTGCCACTGCATAGATGGATAAAAACAACATTTTATTGTTTCCTAGTCATCAGGCGAAGTCATACTCACGATTATACGCACCTATTACCACACAACCACGCCATCTTTGTACGAGTGAGATTTGTATGTAACGTTAGTGCAATATATCAACTACATACCCTACTCACCCTCCGTGCTATTCATGTAGCGTCTGAAATCAAACATCACTGCAAGCAATAGGCCACCAAGCAAAGTCTATCTTACAAACGAACTCTCGCTTTTACCACAGGCTCTTGACATGTCTTCGCTTTATTTGTTTTACGAGTGATTCCGACGTGCTAACGCAACGGATTTCTTGCTAGCTTTTCAAAAATATCTACAATGTAGAATAATTACCCACTTACGACACAAACACACACACACACACTATACCAAGCATAGCATCTCACCTTAGTCCAATCTCCCACCACGTACTCTACCTACCGTATCGTAAAATCCACTGCATCAGCACATCCAAATCATTCGTTCACCCACGCATACAAAAAAAAGAAAGAAATCACTACGTCCACCCATGCATGTAAACTACAACACTCCTTCTACACCCGTTGCCCACTCACTCACTCACTCACTCACTCACCCAACTCACACGCATCCTCCGCATTAAATCCTAGAACCGCATTTCCATTGGCCAAAAAAAAACAAGAAAAAGAGAAAAAGAAGCAGATACCGCATCCAGATCGCCAGTGTACATGGTACATGGATGCATGCATACACGACAACACTACACCTAGTGTAAGCAGGTAAGAGTCGAGACTTGGACGGCGACAACAACAACAACGGCGGCGACAATGTGGGTCATTGCGGATACGGGAGAGAGTGGATACGGGAGAAAGTGAGGGGGACAAAGTGGGCAGTGGGCAGTGGGCAGCAACAGTAGCGTAGATACGACATCAAGAATAAGCGTACTATAGTTGGTTAGTTGGTTAGTTTAGTTACTTAGCTGTGGGGTCCCAAGTGTGGAGAAGACAAGACCAAGACAGCAAAGTAGTAGTGGTTAGTGTGCACTAGCGGTGAACACGTTACACAGACTGACTGGGTCGGAGGTCGGGGGACTCGTATATACACACACACGTGTGAGCATTGCATTCAACGAAAACTTAAAAATATGGAAAAAGCAGATAGCTGGCTTGACTCGATTTTTCTTCATCTTCGAGGTGACGCTAATGTAGATTGATTATGTACAAACGTGCGACAGGTAGAGAAAAAAACGGGACGCCAGCCATGCGCATGGGGTATCAAGCGCCAGGCAACATGGATGCCGACTCGAATACGCCCGCGCGCCGATGGAGATAGGAATAGAAGACCGGTGTAGAAATAGGACGAATCAAAGTTCCTACTCATACACTATGCCATACATGTCGACACGTCGAGGCACTTATTTGTTGGCCTCGGACTCGCGGCGAACAACGGGGTTCTGGCCAGTCTTGAACTTGCTATCCGATGCAAGAGGCTCGCTGGGTTTGTCTAGAAAGATTTCATTTAGCCTAATCCCAAACGCAAAGAGGTTTGCACAAGCCTCGTCATCAGGGTTCGACTCACCATGGCGTGCGTAGAGGTGGTGCTCCTCGTCGGCATATTTGCCGACGGCACCGCTCTCAACTTCCTTGCGGGTAAGAGAAAGCTTGCTCTTGGGAAGACCCATGGAGCCGAGGAAAGTGACACCGTTCTTCCACTCGAGCTCCTTGCGCTTGTTGTCCCACTTGAGTTCCTCGCTCATAATGTCAATGACCTTGGGGAGGGCCTCAAGGGCAGCCTGGGCGTTCAGGAAGGCGAGGCGCATGCGGCGGGCAATTACATCAGTGGCGGTCTGAGCGTACTCGTGGCGGACGCAGTAGCGGACCTCACCGTCAATGTAGGGGTAGAGCTCAGACATCTTGATTCCGCGAACAGGGAAGCGCTGCTCAGTAGGTGCTGAGAGGGCTGCAACAGACCAGGCACGGTCACCATACGCCTGGCACAAGTACTTGGCCACGTCCGTCTCAATGCCGTAGTGCTGAATAAGGTTGATGAAGAGGGTCTTGGAGAAACCGTGCGCACCAACAAGGCGAACACGATGAGTCTGGCAGGTACCGTCGAGAGGAGCTTCGTCCTTGACCTCAGTTCCGCTAATCAGAGTAGGGTTCACGAGTGGCTGAGGCTCAAGGCCGAATTCTTTAATCGCCTCGTCGACAGTCTCCTCGGCCATCTGGCGGTAAGTTGTCCACTTGCCACCTGAGCAGGTCAACAACCCAGAGGGAGAAGTGGTGACCAAGTGGTTGCGGACAAGACCTTCAGTCGCGCTCGCTTGGGGATCGCGGACAAGGGGACGAATGCCAGACCAAGCTGCGAGGACATCGCCACGGCGGACGTTGATCTCTGGCTGTAGATAGCGCTTGACCTCGTTCAAGATCCAATCAATCTCCTCTTCGCCAGCAACAGGGTTCTGCTTAATATCACATGCAGTGTCTGTGGTACCGGCGATAGTGTTGCCCTGCCATGGCAAGAAGAAGACGACACGGCCATCGGAAGTGTTGGGGTCAATGAGACCCATGTTTGCCGGGCTGTAGTAACCAGGGAGAATGACGTGGACACCAGAGCTTGGAGCAACGATTTCTGGAACATCCTGTTCATCCATTTTGCGGATAGAGTCGGTAAAGGGACCCGTGGCGTTGATCACACCCTTGGCCTTGATGGAGAACTCTTCGGCTTTCTTGCCGTTGCTCTCGGCAATAAGGTCCTTTGCCTTTGCACCACACAGGCGGCCATTGGCATCCTTTTCAAGGCTGGTGACCTCGAGATGGTTGACAACCGTAGCGCCATATAGCGCAGCAGTCATGGCAAGCGAAACGTTCATGCGAGAATCGTTGTGAGCACCATCTACTCACGTCAGATACGGATGCGAAAACGAATCGTTGGGCCAACTTACCGTAATAGACCAGAGCTCCGACAAGACCTTCCTTCTTCAACATGGGGAATGCGTCTAGGGCCTTGCTCTTTGTCATGTAGTAGGAGGACTCGATATTTTCTGCTCCAGCGAGGAAATCGTAGAATTTGGTGCCAGCCCAGAAGTAGGGCGCATGCCACCACTTCTGGATAGGGATCATGATGGGGAGCCATTGTGACAGGTGAGGCGCGGTATCCAAGAAGTAACGACGTTCGCGAAGGGCTTCGACGACGAGTGAGTATCTGGGATGAGTCAGTCTAGAAATGGCAGAAACAAACAGGCTGCTTACTGGTTGTAGTCAAGATTCCACACGGCCTTTTCGAGGTATCGCACACCGCCGTGTACCAGCTTGGTACTCTTACTGCTGGTACCGCTGCTAAAGTCGTCGCGCTCGACGAGCGCAACCTTGAGACCGCGTGTGACGGCGTCAAGCGCAATACCGGCTCCGGTTGCGCCACCACCGATAACCAGGAGGTCGTATGGCTCCTCTTCGACCTTGTCGGCGGACGTTGAACTCCCGCCCCCGATCCATTTCCTTGCCTTCTCGGCAACCTGCGAGACGACGCCAGCGCTGCGCTTCAGTTGTGCAATCTGCTCGTCGCGGCTCTTGGCCACGGGGAATTGTGGTGGGCGGAAGACGCCTCCCTCGCCATATGTCGGGGGAGGGACTGCAGCGGCTTCGCTGCCAGGGATATCGCGAGGTCGTAGGCTAACATAGAGGGCGCCCGCACCGACTGCTCCGGCTCCGGCTGTGTAGAGCAGTGGCTTGATGAAGCGGCTTCCTCGTCGGGCAGCCATTGCGACGTATGGATGGGTAGGTGTGTCTCTGGAGGGGCAATCGCTCCAGGCGCTGGTGGTCTATTCTACAGGCTCTCTTCAAGAAATACTACAGTCATGTGCTGAGGCTCGAGCCTACATGGACATATGGTCAGATACAATCAGCGGCCGTGCAGCGGAGACGAGGGGGGTCAGCATGGCATTGTCGACTCACCTCGTAACGGGATTCAAAATTGCATGGCGAGCATAGAGCTCAATGAGGACGTGTTTTTCCGGGGGCAGAGAGGGCGTGAAGGAAAGGTGGCAGTTTGGAACAGTGGAGCTTCAAAGTCTGAAGGCCATCAGCCGCTTGAGATGACGAAAGCGTGGGTTCGCGTTAGGTTGCGCTCCACTTTGGGAAAGCCGAGACAGTCGACGCCGACACGGACAATGCACGCCTCTGCCGCCGAAGCGCCGCAGGACATACTGGACGCAGCCCGCTTGCTAGTCTGTGCTTCTGGATATGCATCTGCATCTTGCATCCACGCCGCCTGCCCGCACTCTCACTCTTGCACTTGCTCGGCCATGGTCGCCCGCCTCTCTGGCTGGCAGAGAGCGAGAGCGAGAGCAAGAGCGGGCGTGTGGCGTGTGGCGGGCTGCCAGGCCAGACACGGAAGCCCATCCGACGTGCTCCCCATCACGATTTTGGTGGAGTAGCCAGCCGGAAGCGGCACCCCCCACGGAGACACGCCAAGCATAGTGGATCGCAGAGCCTCATGATGATCTCATGGAATGTGGAGTCGTGTCTTGAACGGTGTTGCTGACAGCGATTCAGAGCGACTATCGTACGGGCCATCTCTCCCCTCGATGCCCAATCCTATCCACATGCGCCAGCATGCACATACATTTACCCAAATCCCAAGCACGCCGCCGTCAATCGCGCCCCAGCCCAAGACGCCTCCAGATACCCAACAGAACACACGGCCGCCGAAAAATTGGACCCAGGCGCACCCCCTTTTGCTAAATCCGTATTACCCACAGTAAAAGCAGTACATCCACCGCCACTACCCCACCCGTGATGCTCAACACCACCCCCTGATGCACCCACCCCAATCGCTCTCTCCGCGTCTGCATGCTGATGACAGCAACAACACACAAGACGAGGGTGCAGATGGTACCAATCATGACGCCAGCATCCACAACACCTCTCTCCTTCTTCCGGCTGGTTATTGTCATGAGGCCCAGAATGAGGTCCAGCACAACAGCGGCACCCAGAGCAGTCGAGTAAAACCGTAGTTTGGTCATCTCCACCTTGTGCTGGTGACTCTCAACTTGGCCCAGCAGTGCCCGCCGCTCGTTCAGTATATCCGCATCACGGCGAGGGTCACGCAGCGACCGGAACAGCGTGCTGAAGTAGCCTTTGTGTCCTGCATCCTGTCCGTTGGATGCTATTGCCCCATAGTTTGCCGCGCGAATTATAGGCGATGAGTCGATAGTGTCATCGTCCGAGTCTTCCATGCCAGAGAGGGATTCCTCGTCAGGCTCCTCTTTGATTCCAAATAGTCTTCTCGTTTTCCTTGCGCATGCTGCAAAAAAGTCTTGTCCGGGAAACTTGACTGGCGCGTCGGGGTCGACATAGATATAATAGCCTGTTTCTTCATCTTCAGGATTATCATACTCATTCCAGTACCGTTGCTGTACCTCTGGCTCTGGCTCGGCCGAAACCATTGGCTCAGGGTAGTCGGAAAAGGGCTTGCGGCTCTTCTTCCTGAACGCCCGCAGTGGTGGTGGGTCGACAAACTCATGCACCGAGGTTGCAGAAGACTCTTCGTAGCGTGACGCAAGCGGGCTAGACTGACCGTCATACGATGTGTTGGATGTCGAAGTGGCTGGGGGAGAGAGTTGAGATACTGATGCGTTTGTGCTGTCCCTAGCTTTTCGACTCCGTCGTTTGACAGGCTCCGGCAGCTTGCGGATGTCCTTGTCTAAGAGGGCGACCCAAAAAGGCGCAGGCATGGCACTCGGCTTGCAGCAAGCCCATACAGTGTGTGCTTCCAAAGAAAAACCTCGGACACGCTCGACCTGGTGTCATTAGCGCAGGCAATGATATATATACTGTCGGGATTTGACGTACCAAATGACTTCGGTCAAGAGTCTGGATAAGAGACGTAGCCTGATTGCCCTCACGGCGGATCTCTAGAATGGCATGAGGAAACTTCTTAGCTGACTCTGAGCGGGCAGCCACCGTCCAGTCATCGTCTTGCAGGTCGTTATATAAGCTCTCCGTAAAGCAGACGTCCCTGTCCAGAGTTGCCCATATACCTCCTGCAGAGTTGTTGTGGAGCCCAGTAAACCTTGTGCGCTTGAAGAGTGCACCGGCAATGGGCTTGGTAGATTGATGCTCGGTAAGCCATTGGCGAATAGCCAGGGCGTTGTCCTTTGTGGACTCTGTGGGACTGCCAGCGTGCTTCACATTATCTTCGTCGGCAGATGTATCCAAGAATCTTGTCAAAGATTTACGTTCCATCTTTGCCATCCTGACACTGTCTGGCGATGGATGTGGGGTATCGGCGTCGGTACAAACAACAACTGCCGCTTGCTCTGATGCGCAACAACGCACCTGACCGGCTGCCTTGATGCCCGTTACGCCTTGCGTCTCTTCGGCCGCGCCTATAGTACTTGCATTTTGCTTAAAAGCAAAGGCCTCGGCGTGGTCGAGCACAACAAGTCCAGTTGTGTCTTCGTTGCCAAAGTAGGTGTCAATGTTGGCTGTCGAAGGGTAGCGGCGAAGCGGCGTTCCCCGGACGGACGAATTGCGCCTTGTTTTGTTGATGTAAAGTCGCATGTGCTGAAGCAGCAGCACCTGTGCCTCAACAACGTGGTCCGGGTGTATCCAATATGTTGCCTTGTTTCCTTTTGAGCCCAGAGGGACCGTGTCAAGCGCTAGGTCGAAGTCTATGTCATCTCCCTTCTCCAGACTCCGTGATATACGCGCAGCCGACGACTGGCCGGTAACGTGGGTGGCATTGGCAGCTGATGTGCCATCGACGTCGAAAGCAGAGCGAAGCGTGTCGAGTGCGTCGACAAATTGGTCTAGCAGATAGCCTAGATCCAGCTGAAACAGACTGTCTGGGCGGCTGCCAATCTCCTGCTTGAAGACATGAGCAAGTTCCTTGTCTTTGGTCCAGCGCTTGTACTTTTTCAAGATCTTGATGAAGCCGGTACGTTGGGTGACTTGGAAGCGGGAAAGCGATCTTATTTCTTCGCCAGTCCTGGGTTTGGGTTAGCGAGGCGGCCGTCGACGCGCGTTGGCGACGGGGCGTGTAGTGGCGTACCTAATGACGTCCGCCTCAATCTTTGCATATCTCTCGACGGTTCGGGCTGCCAGACGCCCGCTCGCAGGGTCGCGTTTTGCGCGCAGCTGCTGCAGCGTCTTGCTGATGTGCTCCAGCCGCCGCTCGATCTCGCCGCTCTTGCTTCGCACGAATAGGTTGATGCGATCATGTTGCTCCGCGAGCACCCTGAAGAAGGTGTCGCCAAAGGCCCGCTCGGTGCTCTCGCCCTGTCCTGGGATGGAGACGGCCTTGTTGGTGCCGGGCGTGGTCTGGTGCTTGATGAGTTCCTTGAGGTAGTCGTAATCAATGTTGTCTGCATGCGCCCGTCTGTTAGCCCCCGGAATGGTCGGCGTCGTGGGCCGAGGCGCGGGTGAGGGCGCGGGTACTCACAATGGCCCCATTCTGGTATGGACCTCTGCCGCAGGGTATCGCCGTACTTCATTCCAACAGACAAACGGCAGTCGAGAGACTGGAGTCGCAGGGACGGTCAGCGAGGCGCGACGTGTAGTCTTGGAGGCGCCGTCACAAGAAGCGAGGGATTGCGATCTGCCAACGGTTAGATAGCCCGGTCGCGATAAGTAGGCTAACGCCCGAGCGCTGGCTGGAAGCATGGCGTGTTTGCGAGCTTCACAACGGCATCGGAGGGCGTTTGGCCGGTGAACGGCCGAGAGAGGGCGTGGGCGGGCAGCTTACCGTGCGGGTTGATTGGGACGCAATAACAATAATATGGCCATCAACAGCTCGCGTGGCCGCGCCGAGTAGTGAATCGGACCTTTGCGTGTGCTGCCGGACGTCTGGGGCTTATGTACTGACCGGACCATTGACCCAAAACACGGCCAGCAGGCAGCACGGCGGCTTGCGAAAAGCAGTAAGGACCGTGAGTGAATGAGCGTACCCTATGCATGGCGATGCCAATGCCCAATCTTGGAGTGCAATGACATCGGCCAGCAGTAGGCCCCCGTGTAGCAGGCTCCGCACGCTGGTTCACGCTATCCGCATCCCTGCCCGTTCCCTCGCCCTTGCCCTCGCCCATCCTGGCTGCTGCACGTGCAAGGGTGTGTCGCTGATGAAGACTGACGGCAGCCCGCCCGCCAACCACGACCATCCGCTGCCCACTCAACACCAGCCAACGCCATTGCAACCACCAGCGGGAAGCATACACCCGCACGCCGCCGCATGTGCATGTGCATGTGCATGTAACAGCCGCAGAGGGAAGAAGAAGCAGGACGACGAAGGAATCTTTTTTTTTGTGCTCCGAGGTCCCTCGCAGCCCATTCCAGCCAGCCCACGCCTGCCTACATACAAGTATGCATCTTCGCCATCAGATATGCCCACCAAGAGCAACAGCGCCCCCATTGGTGGAACGGGCCCGCCGCGGGCCTGGGAGAGATACGGCTAAGCAGGTCTAATTGCAGACGACAGGCGACATGGACTGCGCGGTCCCCCCGACCGTCTGGATCGTCAAACTCAGATCGAAACTGCTGCACACATCACCAGATGTGGTCAAGGGATATCGTCAAGTCGACGAGACACCGCTGTACGCCATGTCACCGCCCGCTGCTGATTGGACAATGGCTATATCTGGAGAAATATGGAGCAGAAAAGCTTGCATTGCGACAAGGATGGCCCATACCGCCTGCACCGGCGCGCAACGAACATCTCCACCGGCGTCTGGTGGGGCAGAGGCGGAACCAACATGCCACTTTGGAGATCTCGACTCAATTTTCTCCAGGGCATGAGGACAGCAGAGTCGGGCTTCTCCACGGCGCCGTGGGCTCTGGGCCAGAAGTGACCGCGGCTCCACGGCTTGTGGACTATGTGTATAGTATGCTATGGGCATACAGGCCCACTTGAGCCCTCGATCAAAGTCCCTGCGACGGGTGGCCGCCGGCTGCTTTTGCCTTTCGTGGGGATCCGGATAGGCGAAGACTGCGGTGCTTTTCACTTTGAGATTATGGCTTATGCTATCCGTCGTCTGCTCCTGCTGCTACACGGCGAACTCCCCCTTTCTCTGGATGAGCTCGGCGCGTTTGAAATATCTCACAGAGGGGGCTCTAGGCTGTTTCATTACAAACAGCGTCCCCGCTCGGCATGTCCCGGCTTTAAAACAAACCCTTTGCAGAACGGAGGCGGCATCCTCATCCACTGCGCATCTTGATACACGGACACAGACGAGATAGATGGCCTGACGAAACAGGCCCTCGAAGGATCAATATGCATAGCCGATATTCCACGGACTCCGGCATCTGGCAGCCACACAGACATTGCGTGCATGTCCTGGCCAGCGCAGGCATATGCATGCAGGCTCTGCGTCGCCACGGTCGCGTGCTCACCTGCCTAGAGAGGCACAACTGCAACCGGTAGCGAGCAGGGGCGCGCCTCGGCTTGCGGCCTTTGGCATGCGGGCGTCTACAGTCGCGGCTGCTGCATTGGGAGGCTGCTCCTTCCACTCGCGAGGCTGATGCCGCCCACGTGGGTGCTATGGATGGTTCGCGTTTGTTTTCGACATGACTGCACCTGCACCCGCTCTGCCGCTCCAAACCTCCATGTCTTTTCCCATCAACTCAATTCTGAGGCCGCGCGCTCGCTTCACGCATAAAGCATGGTTTGGCCTGTCCCGTTACGTGTACCCTATGCTAACACGTTGTGCCCAGCTGCTGCGCCACGCTGGGACTCAGCCTCCGGTTTACGGAGCGCAGCATTGGAGCTGATTCACTTGCTTGCGTGGACGGCACTGGGGCGACACATGAGCTTCTAATTGTTGCCAACACACGCCATGCCTGCTTGGCCCGATCACTATTTCGCTCCCTATTGCAGCTCTGCTTGCATATACCAGGCCTGCGGGCAGACGTGCATCTGCCGCGCAATCTACACCTAGACTGCCAACTGTATGCTATACCCCGCCATTCGGATCTCGCCATCGTCTATGATTTGGCCCAAAAGCAAAAAGTCTATCCCTCTTATCTCTCGCCTCCTTTTCCTCCACTTACATGTCGACCTCGGCTGCGTCCAAGAAGGGACACGGAGAACCGAGACGACAGCTGTAATCCACATGCAAGCGACCAGCCAGCAGACAATTATGACGCAGACGGCCAGCGAGCTCAATCACACCGCTTCATCATAGACCAGAGCAAACAGCCCTCGCCCCCCTCCTTTGCTCTTCCCTCGCGATCAATCTTTCCTTTGCCCACGGTGATCTCCTCCAAGATTTCAAGTCCCAGATGCAGATAGACATCCCTGCTCTTCTCTGTCGTGGCTTCCAACACCACCGGCCATTTCATTTCCTTGGCCATCTGCAGCACCGGCCGGATTACGTCGCTGACCTTTGAATTGCGCGATGGGTCATGGGACGGATGGGACCGGTCGTTGCCCAAGAGGATGAGGTGCAGCATTTCTTTGCATCCTTTAGGGACGTGTTTTCTCCGGGCCTGGTGAGCAAGACCGTTGATCTCATTTACGGCATAAGGAAAGTGCGGAATAGGTGTGAAGGTTGGCGTTACGGCCTGTACGACCCTAGCTGGTGAGTCAGTTTACTGTCGTCAAAATCAGGTATTCTACCTGAGCATTTTTGTTCTTTCGTTTTTTTCCTTTTTTTGTGACGGCAAAAAGAAAAAAAGATTACATGTACAGAAAGAGCATTCGTTGCCAAGACCAACATGACGACGACATACGTACCAGACACTAGCAACCCCACTTAGCTCAACGGTAGTAAGGGACCTTGCGCCATCCTGGACCATGCCCGGAATGACATCGCTAAATACTGCTTTGTTCAACTCATAGCTGATGTCGCGCACGCCCTCTGCTTGCAATTCCTCGATCAACGCATACCGCTGGAACGGATCGTCTCTGAAGGTCTCGGCAATAATCTCAATGGCGTGCTCGAACGTGTCCTCGACGGTGCCCGCCGGAATGGGGATATGCACTCCTCCTCCCATGGTAGCCTATTGTATAGCAGGGTCTATGTTTGGCTGGACGAAGGACCAGAGAAACGCTAACGAAAACAACAAGTGATACAAGGACGACAGGATAGGCACCCAATGAGCGAGCAAATGCCGAGAGCCAAGTGTTGGAAGCGACAGAACCGGGACTTGGGAAGAGGGGAAAACGTCAGTCGAGAATGCTTGGTATGGTATCGTAATATGAATTACCCGTCTGTCGGACTGGGCGGGCATATATATCTACTTATGTAATTCAGCTTCTCAGACACGATTCGGTCCGATGCTGTCAGGTCTATGGGCCGGCTGGGCGCCGTCTTTGCTACGTTGCTACTGCAATGGTGTCACAGCAAGCTTTTCGCTTATTCCGCAGTATTAGCAAACATCTTACCTGCTGGGTGCGGCATTTCCAGTGGTTAGGTAATCGTCACGCCGGGTGAAACAAGACCGGAGGCCGACCGGCCCTGGTACTGAGCCGTAGCCGCGGCCAATGAGGCTCCACAGCTCAATAAGTAATGCGACGTTGCTTACGAATCGGCTGGATATACCCCATGGGGGGTGTTCATATGTACATAGATGGAAACACGAATGGATGCATACGTGTACGTTGTACAGAGGATAGATTGAATTTCGCTTGCAATATCGAGGCATCACGTCATTTTGCGTTTTCGGAACGAATCAAGCACTACTGCAGCCTCCCGCCCATAGCCAGTTTCGCCCCGGGAAAACGCCATGCTATATACGTATATGTATGATCCGCACTATGTAGACACAAGAAAAAGCTTGACGTGGCCCATCAAATGCTTAGCCCGGGGGAAGCAGGCTGTTGTCGACGACGTCCTGTGCCTCCATCTCCTCCACCTCGGCACTCGCGTGGAGCGGTGAGCGGGGCAGCGCCATCAGACCTGATCAACTGTTAGTGTACGCTCCCGTCATGTCGGTTTCGGGCCGCTTACCAGTCCTTGCAGACTCCAGGATGCCGAACGGAGCAATGAGCTTCATGAAAGAGTCGATCCTGGTAGACTTTGCTGACACCTCCACTATACAGTTGTTTGTGCTGATGTCCAACACCTTTCCGCCAAACTGATGAGTCATAAATGTAATGGCGCGCAGATGCTCATGCTTGTGCCGAAGCGCCTGACTGACGGGCAGGTTTGTCGGATGGTAGTCCCTCCTCAGCGACTCACGTGCGGCCTCGTGCGCCGCCGCATTCCGCGCCTCATCCGAGGTGTGCTCGCTTTCGTGTCCGTCCGTCTCCGGCGGCTGGGCCATCTCGCGGTGGTGGGCAAGCAGCTCCTCAAAGTACTCGGGGCCGAGAATCGAAACTTTGGCAAGCAGCAGCTCACGCTGGACCAGCGGAGACTGCGTGTAGTCGAGCACCGCCCACACGGGCACCAGGTCCTCCAATTGGCGGCGGGCCTGCTCTATAACGCCATCCTGGCCCTGCAGCACAATCGTCATGCGGGAGAGATCGTCGACCTCGGTGTTGCAGACGACCAGGCTGTCAATGTTGAAGCCGCGGGCGGCCAGGATGCCCGACACTCGCGACAGCACACCGGGCTCGTTCTGCACCAGGCAATTGAGGATGTGACTCTTGGGCGGGGCCTGCGAGGGCAACGGCGTCTCGTAGATGATGTTGCTGACGGCAGCCGGGGCCGACCATGCAGGAGGGCGGTCTTCCGTGGGCAGCGGCGCGATGCGGCGGTGGAGGGCCTTGTAGGCCAGAGCCTGTGTCGACGAGGAGCTGGAGGCGCGCTGCTGGAGGCGGAGGGAGCCCGCACATTGCCTGCTGAGCAAGCTGCGCAGCGGCAGTACTGCGCGCCTGGAGGCCATGTCGATTGGGGGGGGGAGGTGGGCGGTGGGAGGGCGGAGTGTGAAGGCGGAGTGAAATAATCGCTGGCACAAGAACCGCCGCCAGCCGATGGTCGGAGCAGGCACGCAGAGCAGCAGAGGCGCAGGCGCAGGCGGAGGCGCAGGCGCAGGCGCAGGCACGCGGGCAGGCAAGGCAACTCCAGCCGCGGCACGCTAGTAAGCGAGGGCTGCCTCTCACAAGTGCTTGATCCATCTCCGACCATCGACCCTCGACTCGACTCTCTGCCTGCTGCAACTGAACGCCGCACCCGTTGACAAGCGAGCAACTGCATCATGTCTGAAGAACGCCGCCCACGCTCCCGCTTTGACAGCGACGAACTCGAGCGCCCCCCGCGCTCGCGCTTCGACACGGACCGCCGCTCCAGGTCGCCGTCGCGACGAGAGTCCGAGTCGCATCGCGCTCGCAGCCCGGTTTCTCGTGAAGGCACAGACAGCCCCGCGTCGGCCAGCTTCAAGAACAAGGCGGCCGCGGCCGCGGCGGCTGCGGCGGCGAGGATCAACGCGCAGATCCAGGCGAAGAAGGGCATCCAGCACGTCGATGTGCCGCCGATTCGCTCTGTAGGTCCCGCCCCGAACCCTCTGCGCCCACGCCCGCTGAACACCAACTGACTGACCACAACCCCCCCAGGCGCCGACGCCTCCAGTAGCCAAGTCGCCCGCGTCCAACTCGGCCGCCGCCATTAGCAACGAGACTTACCAGCAAGACGGTGACTACATCAAGGACATTGAAATCAACGATCTCCGTAACCGCTACACACTGACAAAGGGCGCCACACAAAAGAGGGTAAATAACTGTTTTTGCTGTTCACTGATTGTCTAGGATCATGTCTTTTCTCTGTCTGCGGACCTCTCTGCATTGGGAGCCAGAGCTTACTTGATCTTCTAGCACCCCAATCCCGTGTCTATCAAATGCTAACCTCCATGTGATATCTAGATCAAAGACGAGACTGGCGCCGGTACGCATGCCCCGACTAAACCTGCTCACGTGTAGAATGCCTGCTTATACATGCAAAGATGTCACGACTCGTGGAGAATACTACCCTGACAAGAACATGGCTACTGCTGCTGTAAGTAGACACCGCCCCGTCCGACTCGACATGGACGCGCGCTGACTCTTGTCGTAGAACCCGCCGCTATATCTGCGCATCACCAGCACCTCCAAGGAAGGCCTGGAAAAGGCTGTAGAAATGATTGAAGAAATGAAAAAGGAAGACCTGCCTAACCTAGTAGACGAACGCCGCTTCCGCCGTCGCGAGCCCGAGAGCTTTGAGCGTGACGAGTATGGTCGGGTATGTCTCTGTCTGGCCCTCTCACGCCATATACTTGCTAACTGCCCACAGCGCAAGTGGCCCGAGGAAAAGATCTCCGTAGGTCTTGAGCCCATCAGTGGCTTTAACTTGCGAGCACAGGTTGTCGGTCGCGGTGGCGACAATGTCAAGTTCATTCAACAGGAGACAGGCTGCAAAGTGCAAATCAAGGGTCGCGGTTCGGGCTTCATGGAGCCCAACTCCGGCCAGGAGAGCGATGAGCCCATGTACCTCCACATCGCGTACGTATGGCTTTGGTGGGCGACTGTCGCATTGCTAACGAGATGCAGCGGACCCCGCCCCGAAGGCGTAGCCCAGGCAAAGCAGCTCTGCGAAGAGCTTCTCGAGAAGGTAAAGGCAGACTACCATGCTTTCAAGGACCGCCCACCGACGAACCGATACGGCGATCGCGACGGCTATTCGGGTGGACGGCCGGGATACGGCGATCGCGGCGACCGGGATAGGAGCCAGAGCTATGGTTACGGAGGGGCTGGCAGCTATGGTGGATACGGCGGACACGGCGGGCAAGGAGGCCACAACGGCTACGGCGCTCAGGATACCGTCATGTCGCCAGCCTCCGCAACGCCCACTGCCGACGCAAACAGCCAGGCCTTTGACTCGAATGCCGCACAAGCCTGGATTGCGTACTACCAGCAGAACCCTGATCAGGATCCCTATGTCGCGTATGGTGGTTACCAGGCATATCTTACCATGCAGCAGCAGCAGTATGCCGCTTACTATGCTCAGGCCGGTTATGGACAAACACAGTCGCCTGCTCCGGGGGCTGGTGCCGCCGCCCCGCCTCCGCCGCCACCTTCAGAGCCTGCGTCTGGCTATGGCGCTCCCCCGCCCCCGCCACCGCCAGCTGCGTCGCCCCCCAACTACGGCGCGGTAAGTCGACTTGTCGGATGCAATATGGCCTTGACTGACGCGCTATCAGGTTCCCCCACCGCCCGGCTTGTAAGTGTCAAGCAACGACTATGAACTCGCACTTATGACAGCCTCTCAACTTGACTTGATTGATTGAGCACAGTTTAATCACCTTGTGTATTGACTCGCAGCATGTCGAATTGCGTTGCAAAAGTTTTCGCTGCCGCTTCGGCGCGTTTGCTTGGTCACCCTGGGACCCCGCCAAGTGGTGGTGGTCGGGTATAGTATTGTCCCACCCATCTGGAGTCAATACTTTTGCTAGGATACCAATTTGAGTGCTTTCATTACACGAGTTCCTCTTGCAACGACTGTGACTGTTCTTGTGTCGGATCCACTACCGAACTTGAGTGATGATGACTTTGTAGAAGCGGTTCGAGGTGCCAGTGGGACAGCCAGTACCCAGTCAAAATATTCATGTCGATGTTGAAGAACTAGCTCGCTGCTTGCCTGAACTGTGTATTGCTGCACGGGGTATTTTCTTGATGACTTCCACGAGCGCTGTGATTGGGCAGAAATTGTAGGGGTTCTCCGCTGACGGCGTTGGCGTTCGCGTGCCTGACCCTTGCCCCGGTACCGACCCGCGGAGCGATGTCGCTGGCACTGGGACAATTTGTGCCGATGCGCTCTGCGCTCTTGAACCTTTGCCCTCGTGCTGACGCCACCAGACAAGTTTCAGAATGCGGTCGCAGATGATTCGTGCTGGCCAAGCAGCCAGATGCAGGGTGAGTTTTTATACGCCGAGGAAATATTGCATACAAGATGAGCATGAGACTTGAACAGCCATGCTTGCGCCTCTGCACTGAAATCCGCCGGCAACAGAATGCTAACAGAGTCACAAGCCTCAGCTGCTTCCCTCGCTCCGCCAATCTGTCCTACAGCCTCGAAGATGTCTAGCTACATCGCATGACCTGCCCAAAGCCCGCAATGTCGACGTTGCTTCCCGTACCCCGCCGTACGCCAAACTGCTCTCCCGCCTGGAGGAAGTACGACGTGTGCTAGGCTCCTCGCGGCAATTGACGCTGGCCGAGAAGATTCTCTACTCGCATCTGGAAAACCCAGAAGAGTCTCTCCTGAGCAATACAAATGGCGGAAGGGACATTAGGGGCCAGGCCAACTTGAAGCTGAAGCCCGATCGCGTGGCTATGCAGGATGCCAGTGCCCAGATGGCTCTTTTGCAGTTTATGAGCTGTGGACTGCCAACGACAGCAGTCCCTGCAAGCATACACTGCGACCATCTCATTGTTGTAAGTCCACCTTCTCGTGCGTCTCAGCCAGGTCTCAAGCTGACCTATCGGTAGGGCGAGAAAGGCGCCGACGCAGACCTTCCACAATCCATTGCGGGCAACAGCGAGATTTTCAATTTCTTGGAGTCGGCAGGGAAGAAGTATGGCATCGAGTTTTGGCCACCAGGCGCGGGAATTATCCACCAAACCGTGTTGGAGAACTACAGTGCACCAGGAGTGATGATTCTGGGAACAGACAGTCACTCACCGAACGCTGGTGGTTTGGGATCAATTACAATCGGTGTGGGTGGTGCGGATGCGGTAGATGCTCTGGTAGATGCGCCATGGGAGCTCAAGGCGCCCAAGATCCTGGGTGTCAAGCTCACTGGCGAGCTCAGTGGATGGGCTTCTCCAAAAGACGTGATTCTCAACTTGGCTGGTCAGCTCACAGTCCGGGTATGTGATTTGAAATGTTCAAGTGTTGCAGACTAACAGATGCGCAGGGTGGCACTGGCTACATTATTGAATACTTTGGACCTGGCGTGCAGTCTTTGAGCTGCACTGGTATGGCAACCATTTGGTAAGACTGCAACTCCCTTGTAGTTTGCCAGCAAGACTAACGATGGTAGCAACATGGGTGCTGAAGTTGGCGCGACTACGTCCCTTTTCCCCTTCTCTCCAGCACACGTCCCCTACCTGCATGCTACACACCGTGGACCCATTGCCGAGGCAGCTACCAAGATTTCTCAATCACCAATGCAGCAGAATCTCTTGCGACCCGACCCAGAGGCTGTCTACGACAAGGTCATTGAGATTAACCTCTCTGAGCTCGAACCGCACATTAACGGACCCTTTACTCCTGACCTCTCCACCCCTTTGTCCAAATTCAAATCGGTAGTAGAAGAAAAGGGGTGGCCAAAGACATTTGGGGCAGGCCTCATTGGCAGCTGCACAAACAGTTCTTACCAGGACATGACGCGCTCAGAGGAGATTGTGAAGCAGGCCTCAGCGGCTGGTCTCAAGCCTAGGGCTGATTTCTTTATTACACCAGGCAGTGAGCAGATTCGGGCAACACTCGAACGGGATGATACCTTGTCTACTTTCACATCAGCTGGAGGTACCGTTCTAGCAAATGCTTGCGGGTGAGTTATGTGACCATATTTGAGTGAACTTGCAGTACTGACATCCTCGACGACCTTGCATTGGTCAGTGGAAGCGCACAGACGACGTCAAGAAGGGCGAATCCAATGCCATATTCACATCATACAACCGCAATTTCCCTGGCCGCAACGATGGTAACCGCGCAACAATGAACTTTCTCGCTTCCCCGGAGCTCATCACCGCTATGACATACTCTGGTTCCACCACCTTCAACCCCATGACTGACAGCATCCCCACGCCATCTGGCGAGCCCTTCAAGTTTGCGCCGCCCAAGGGCTCCGACCTTCCCTCCGCAGGCTTTGCAGACGGTAACCCAGACTTTATGCCCTCACCAGCTGTCCCTGATGCTAGTGTCGATGTCATCGTATCGCCTACCTCCAGCCGTCTAGCACTTCTCGACCCCTTCCCACCGTTCCCCGAATCCGACTTTACTGGACTCCGCGTACTCTACAAGGTCAAGGGCCAATGTACAACAGACACCATCTCTGCTGCTGGCCCATGGCTCAAGTACAAGGGCCACCTGCCTAATATTTCTGAAAACACACTCATTGGTGCCGTCAACGCGCAGACGGACGAAGTCAATGTTGCTTACGACATGGACGGCAAGACATCGGGTATTCCTGAGCTGGCCAAGAGGTGGCGCGACCAAGGTATTGAATGGCTCGTCGTGGCAGAGCACAACTACGGCGAAGGCTCGGCCCGTGAACACGCCGCTCTGCAACCGCGCTATCTAGGTGGACGCATTATCCTCGCCAAGTCGTTTGCCCGAATTCACGAGACCAACCTTAAGAAGCAGGGTATCGTCGCTCTTACATTCGCCAACGAGGCCGACTACGACTTGTTTGAAGCTTGCGACCAAGTAGCCACAAGGGGGCTACTGGATGTGCTGAAGAGCGGTGGCAAGGGAGAAGTTGAGCTGGTTGTTAAGAAGAAGGATGGTAGTGAAAATGTCATCAAGACCAAGCACACACTTTCGAAGGATCAGTGTGGCTTCGTGCTTGCCGGTAGCGCACTTAACCTTTTGGCCAGGAAGGGAAGGGAGTTGAAGGAGGAAATCACCAGGAGTGCAGAGTTGAGTGACTAGAAATTCAATGTCGAAAATATGAGTGGAAATCTAAAATGGGAAAAGGCGCATGGCGGCTGTAGTTTTGTTCAGGTTTTGCAAGCAATGGTTATTCCGGTATATAAATAGCGCTTGCAAAGCTGTGGTCTATGAGTTTTTTTGGACGAATGGTTGAAGTCAATGTAACTGATAGCTGTAAAAGCTGACAAGTTCCACGGTGAGGCGAGGTCACGTGGGCAATACTCATTGCTCAGCCGCGTTCCTGGATTTCTCCACGACAGTCTCCTAGCGGCGTGAAAACTTCTCAAATATGACTTGAAAATTTTCTAGTACTAACTACAGCCTTTCTCTAGCCTTAGTTGGCATGATCCGTGTTATCGGCGTATTCGCATCTGGCAATGCATCGCCGCCGAACCCATCGACTAGCCTTCGCTGACCCTATTTTGCTACTTACTGTACCGCCCACGCAATGCCACCAAAAACACGGGTCATAACAGCCAGAGAGCTGCAATCGCTCCTTATACGCATCGGTGCGGCATCGACAGGGAAAAAATCGACTCTTGTGGAACGCCTTGGGCGCGACATTACCAGGCCGCGCCTCTTGAACCGCCATGCAAAATGCAATAGGCTGCGGCCCGCGGACTCGAAGCTTCGCATCATGAGCATTGACATGGGGATCAAGAACCTAGCTTTTTGTGAAGCCGAGGTTTCATATCCGGCTAAAGACAGTCTGAATGCGACAATGGAGGTCTTGAGATGGGAAAAAGTCGACCTCGCACCTGCGACACAACATGTTGCGCTGCAGGGACCTGGACCAAGCCCCCTCAATCAGGACAATTTCGATGCAGACGAAGGCGCAGACCTGTATTCTGTAGGCGTCTTGTCCAAAACGGCCTATGGACTGGTTAAAAAGACGATATTGGCTGGAGCCCCGGATGTGGTGTTGATTGAGAAGCAGAGATGGCGGTCAGGCAACGGCAGCGCAGTACAGCAATGGACTCTGCGAGTGAACACGCTGGAAGGCATGCTGTGGGCTGTGCTGGAGACGCTGCATACGGAACAGCTGCTCATGCTGCAGAAGGAGGGGGGGGTTAATGAGGAGAAGAGGCTATACGAGGTCCATGGCATAGACCCCAAGCGCGTGGGACACTACTGGCTTGAACAAAACGCTCAGCGGCTTGCTAGCGAAGACAACGTCACAGACGTAGTAGATGTTGAGCAGGACACATCCGCCACCGCCAAGCTCAGCCGGTCCAAGGCAGAGAAAAAAGCAAAAATCGCTCTGTTACGATCCTGGTTCGTTGCATCTCCAGCGTCTACCGCGTCCACCACTTGCGCAACAACGCCCACCATTTCGTTTGCTATCGGCAAAAACGCAGAGCCTACGCGCCGAGCTCTCTGCTCGCCGCCCAAGTCCACACGTGCTAGGAAGAGTAGCTCCACGGCTCCCAATAGCGTTGAGAGCCTTGCAGATGACGTTCCAGTCGCCGAGCTGAGGAAACTAGACGACATTACCGATTGCTTTCTCCAGGCCGCCGCGTGGGTAAGCTGGGAGTCGAATCGACGGAAACTGTGGGATATCTGGAGGAAAAGGCTAGAGCAGCGGCATGGCAGCGAGTCTGATGATGAAAGTCTTGCCCGCGAGCTAGACGGCGAGGTGCTGCTGGATATGGCGAGGGAGGTCGAGGCATGAGGCATCATGAATTAGTAGGGTATCATTATTCCTAGGAACAGCGTGCAAGCAAGCATGCAAATGGCATCAATCGATCAAGTCTGTATAAGCAAGTATACATGCAAGCAAGCAAGCTACATGTGTAAGTACCCACGCCCTTGTACGTACATTCAAACCCATGATCGCAAGCCCGCCAAATCCCACAAGCAACCACAGCCATGAACGAGAAACCATGCATCCATCCAACAACGAGATTCCGCACTAAGAAAGAAAGAAAAACAAAATAACATAGTATGCAATGTAATAGCCCTACAAGTTCCCCTCCCTCCTCCTCCTCCTCCTCCTACGGCCAAACTGTCAACGGCCCTTCAATCCATGCTACGTACAACAAAGTTTAAGTAGCTGAACTTACTTACTGTACCCCTCCCGCCCCCGTCTTTCGCGACCCCACACAATGACGTGTCCCGCGAAAATGCCCCTCACTCTTCCCCTCCGCTCATCATCATTTTCGCATTCCCAATTCTCGCTCCCCGCACCCGCTCGCATCCGGCGTTCCCACGCCTTCTCGAGTTAATTTTTTTTTCGACTGCAATATAATACTAAGATAATTTGAAAAAATCCCCCAGAAACACTCAATTTCAACAAAAGTCTCGGTGGCGCAATGGTAGCGCGTTGGACTTCTACCCCTAAGATCGCTTAACTGGTTTTGGTTAACTGAGTCGGTTATGTGAGAAGAGAGAGAGATTGCAAAAATCCAAAGGCTGCGGGTTCGAGCCCCGCCCGAGATGCTTTTTTGTTTTTTATATTTTTGCTGTTGTTGGTTCGTTTCGCAGTTTGATATATATCTTGGTTGTCCTTTTTTTTCTTTTCGCATGCCTGCTTGCTATTTATTTATTATATGTAGATAGATGATAGTAGTAGGTAGGTAGTGAGTGGTGGGTGAGTGAGTAAGAAATAAAGAGGGGGGAAGGTATTTATTGTCTTTTGCTGCTAGATGCTCGATGCGGGAATGGCGATCTGATTTGCGAGGGATAGATGGGTAGTGAGTAGTAAGTAAGTAGTCGAGAGAAAGAGAGAGAGAAAGAGAGAGAAAGAGAGAAAGTATGCGCAAGGCCTCTCTCTAAACAAGCCAAACCAAACAAAGTACATGTTATTTGTAGTTGTTAAGTATACCATTTTTCAACGGGTTGAGTCCGTTCTATATGTTGTTTGTTGTATATATGTAATAATAGCATGGAAGGGAAGGAAGGGAAGAAGCCACACACACACACACACCACCTTTAGTCTTTAAAACACAGAGGAATATAGCTATTCATGGAATACTGCTGTGATGCACCTAGCATATATTATAATATTCACTAACGTGGTTCATAAGCGAGCGGACACCCCAAGCGAGCGGACACCTCCCCACCAGCGCGTCAACTTCAACACGTTATCACAGCCTTTTATCACAGTCAATAAACTATTGCAATATACTAAATTAATTATCAGAATCGCTATTATCACTTGCACTATCTATCTCAACTGCGCAGGTACGAGCGTTGTGTCCAGTCTGCTTGCAACGCCCGCACCGCCGCTCTCCTCGCACCCTCTTCGACGCACTCTCACCATCACCACGACTGCTACCCGCCTGTTCAGCTAATACTTCTTGTACTTCGCCTACAGTAAGAGTCTCTTCTGTCTGTACGTATCGCCGCTTGCGGCTTTTACGCTTATTTGACTCGTCAAGAGCCGCTCGAAGCGTACCCATTTCCTCCATCATAAGCGTCATTTTATGTGCCATTTGCTGGGCCCCCTTACTCAGCTGCGCGATCTGCTTAGTGAGTGAATTGGCAGAAGATCCACGGCGTTTTCTCACGCTCTCTTGAATGAGACTAATTTGAGACTTAACTTCGCGCGCGTTGCGTGGTGTCTGCGCCTGCCAGGCAGCTACCCGTCGTGGTGATTGACGAGGTGTCTGCACCACTACATCAAGCTTAGATAGCACAGCCTGTGGGTCGTGTGGGACTAGACCAGCACCTCTGAAGCCAGCTTGGATATTCTCCTTCGTAATAGACTGCTCAAAAGCAGCCTTAAAGGCTGGTAGGAAGGTTTCCTTGCTAATATAGTAGGTGCGGTTGCGTGCCAAGCCTGAAACAGCGTCGCCATACTTGCGCTTCAATGGCGAGAAGCAGGCGACGTCAAGGGGCTGCAACAGGTGAGACGAGTGTGGAGGCATGCAGAGAAGAATAATATTCTTCTCCTTGCAAAGATCTTGAAAATCGATGGAGCAGTGGCTCTCATGGCCGTCAATAATAAGTAGTCAATACCCACCCACAGTAGAGCTCTTTGTATAGGTATCAAAGTGCTCTAACCACGCAAGACCAAGCTAATTATTCGTCTAGCTATTAGGACTAACTTTAAGAACCTAGTCGGCAGGCAAATCCTCAAACTAGACGTTAATAAGCACCTTGCCCGCAAAGACAACGAAGGGTGGTATCCAGCGACCTGATGCGCCCACGCCTTGGATCACAGTAACCCACTCGCGGTTGCCTAGCTGTATCCGCTTCTTTTTCCTATATCCTTCTAAGCCTGTGATTAATAACTGTGATAAAATCTTGCCTATCATAAAGCCAGTTTCGTCAAAGTTGTAGATATCGTCGTCCACAATACCCCACTTCTGCTTTGTCGCCTGGACTAAGTCGAACCAGCGCTGGATAGCCACTGGGTCCTCGCAGGCGGCTCGCTGGTGATCATAGGGACGGCTCTAGCGCGTACGGAGCTCAGCAGTCCGCCTAACAAAGTTGTCAACCCAGTTCTTGCCAACAGGGTTGCCACCACGCTCCTCTAACAGTTTATCAGCCATTGCTCGAACCTTAGCCTTTGTAGGCGCAAATCCTCGCGCAGACTCTTCAAGAATACGCCTAACAATAGCCTCCTCTTCTAGCTTATTCAAGCGCTTTGAATTTGGTTCGCAGTTGCGTTGAGAGTGTCTTCTAGCGCGTTGGTAAAATAAAGTTATTCGAGGGACGCTATAGATCTTAGCAGCACGTTTAACACTCTTTACACGTTAGGAATTAATATTAGAAATAGCAAGTTGGATATTAGCTTTAGAAAAAGTTTGTTGAATTTGATGTGGTTGAGACATAACGCGTTGTAGTATGAACGTCGACGCGCTGGTGAGGAGGTGTCCGCTCGCTTGGGGTGTCCGCTCGCTTGGGGTGTCCGCTCGCTTATGAACCACGTTACTATTATCATCCAACCCAGAATGACCAAGTAAGTACATAAATTAACTACACGCCGCGCATACAAAAAACCAAAGTCTGGGAAATTTGGATCAGGCCCGATATTGGTGCTTGCAACGGCGCCTTTGAAATCCTTGACTTTTGCGTTTTTCTGCGCTTCGAGGCATTTATCTATAATGCGTTGGTGTTAGCTATGCTGTGCAGTGCAGTGCAGTGCAGTGCAGTGGAATGTAGTGGAATGTAGTGAATGAACCAGAAAACAGGGACGCAAGGAAGCAAGGAAAAGCCATGAAATGAAATGAAAAAAAAGAGGAATACGAACTCTTCTGCCCATCACACTGATTGACCGTCAACTTTCCGTTTTTCCCATCACCCCCGCCGCCAGCCTTGTTCGCCGTGGTGCTACAGCCCTGAAACTGGTTATCACAGCTGCGTTGAGCGGCGGAATCAAACTGGGTAAAAGTATCGCCGTCGACTTTGAACGGCCGCTTTTCATCCCCGGAATTGGTAATGGGAGGCGCGGGGCTGTTGCCCAGGTTGCCGTCAAAGGTTTGCAGGTTGGTGAGTTGGCGTAGGAAGAGCATGTTGCGTGGGACGAGGGACATTTCGTAGTCGGAAGTTATGAGGGGTGGTTGTGGGGAGGCGTGGGAGAGGGCGGGGAGGGCGAGGTGGAGGAGGGTGAGGAGGGCGGTTGGGAGGAGCATGGTGCGTGTGTATTATGTTGGCCGTAGAACGTGTCGTATGTCGTCCGTGTGGAATAGTCTCCCTTGCTGTACGAAAATCCGTCGGGGTATCAGTGGTAGAATCGCGCTCCTCGTTGATATGGTATGGTGTCGTGGGGGAAAAGAGGCAAGGCCAGTACGTATACCCCCAACTCTTTCTGTCCAGCGCAAATAACAACAAACAACAGCAACTCAACAACCGTCCAGCAGTATATGCAAGCCCGCGCTAGTCGTCGCAGAAGAGAAACCCTTGCTCGAAAGCAAAGAAAGCAGCTTTTTGCTAATCGATCGATCGATCGGTTTAACCTTCGATTCAATCAATCAGTCTGCCCAGTCAACCAGCCAGGCAAACCAAAAGAAAATTGACGCACACACACACACTGGAAAAGAAGAAACGAAACGGAAATAAAAAATAATAAACGACGGGTATACGCAAGAAAACAAAAACCGGCCGAAAAGATGACGTGTGTAAAACCCGATGGTGAGGCGGAGCAGAAAGATAGCGTGTGTGGGAAGAGATTAGACCAGGCTCTGAGGAAGAGTGACAAAGAGAGGAAGAGAGAGAAAAAAACACCTTGTTCGCTGCCTGTAATGTCGGTACTATGGTGCCGCTAAGAAGGGGAGGGGGGGAAGCGGCATGACTGATTCGATACCATGCACACACATAGACACAAGGGGGCTAAATGTTACAGGCGTCTCGGCGCGTAAGCGGGCGAGACGTTGGTGTTTGTCTGGCGGGTTTGAAGCATGGCTGCTACAGCAGCTGAAACGGGGTGTGGTGCCGTCACGCAGGCTGGCGGGCAACAACCCTGGAGGGGCTTGACACGAACTTGGGAGCGCGGCCTTTTTTGGGAGCTCACCGGCTCCCCTAGGCACGCCCAAAGGGAACAGAACGGGTGGTGGGAGCGCGCCAGGGAAAGGGGAAGAGAGGAACAACAAACGTGTGCGTGCGCATAAAACGCAGTTCATGCAATGCAGTTCATGCATGCGAGAGCACAACACAGTGCAGGGGGAGTGTACGAGAGGCGGGTGCTTTCAGGGTATCTGAGATTAATATCGCTACGGTAAGGGTATAATGATAATGATGCCTAAGCATGATGTGAAGGGCATTGCACACTCAATTACAAAACTTTTGTGAAAAAAAAACACAGTACATGCTGCTGCAAAGACTCGAGGAAATGGATACATAGACAGTGATGACGTCGTTGCGTCTTTCCATATAGCATTTGTTAGTATGTACCACCAGTGCATGGACTGCATATGGAGCCAAGTAACCAGTCCGAAAGACTAACCCATATAAGAAGATATGATCAAGTCGAAAAAGATGCAGCGTAGTGACTGAATCTCGGGCAATGTCGAAAAAAAAGGAAAGGTATTAAAGGCGCATATGGTGTGGTATTTACAAGCTCGTCTAGTCTGCCGCTCAAGATTGCTTCCAGCACAGAGAACCCAGGCAAATGGTCGTTGGCGTCGTAACGGACCCAGAAAGGTCCTTGTATTGTTCGTCTTGGAGGGGGGGCTGTAACTCGCCTAGAAGTTGGCCGCGGCATTGGGCCGGCCGCCAGGGTTGTGGTACTGATCGAGGTTGGACTGGAAGGGGGTGGATCTGGTGCCGTTCTGAGTTTTGTCGCCAAGTGCGGCTCCGGTGCCGGCCATGAGGTCATCGTCATCTTCCTGGACACGGGCCTGACGCTTCTTCATGCGCCAGAAAACGAGAGCGATACCGCCAAGCAGGAGAGCACCGCCGACTCCGCCAACGACACCGCCAATGACCTTTTTGTTGGAATCGCTGAGGCCTCCGCTGCCGCTGTTGTTGTTTGATTGCTGCTCCGTGGGGGCCTCGGTGTAGGTGGCCTGGCCCGTGGTGGTGACCGAGGTGCTGGTGCCCGTCGAGACCTGGGTGATTCTCTGGCCGGCACTCTCCGTGACCATGGTGGTGGTGAATACGATGCGGGCGGTGGAAACCAGAGCCGAGGTCCTTGTGACTGGTGCGGTTCTCACGGGAGATGAGGGTGGGGTTGTCGGGGCAGGCGCATTTGCAGTTGTGCGGTCTTGCGATGTCGCGGCATTGTTGTTGTTGTTACTGTTGTTATTGTTGTTGTTATTGCTGTTGTTGTTGTTGTTGTTGTTGTTGTTGTTGCCGCCGTTTCCGGTGGGGGTGGGAGTGGGCGTGTTGGCGGGCGGGTTGTTGTCCGAGGGGGCCTGCGACGGGGGAGGGTTGTTATTGTTGTTGTTGTTGTTGTTGTTGTTGTTGTTGTTGTTGGGAGTGGATGGCTGTGGTTGAGGAGCGGGAGATGAGGCAGCAGGCGGCGGCGACGAGGCTGGCGGCGGTTGTGAAGGCGAGGGCGCAGGAGCGGGCGTCGAGGGCGCGGGAGTGGGCGAGGCGCCAGTGCCTTCTGCGGCCTGCCTCTTGCCGTTGTGCAGGTAGTGGTTGACGCCGTCGAGGTTGAGATCTTCAAAGGTAAAAGCCGACGAGACGGCGGCCATGGCGAAGATGGCGCCGGACAACCACGTCTTGGGCAGCATGGTTGGCGATGGTGCAGAAGCAGGCGGGAGCGAGCGGAGGCGGGCTGGGGGGGTCTTTGAATGGACGGGGCTGACGCGTGTGGGCAGCGATGTTTGGCTACGGGTGTTGGTATGATTAAAGGGGAGTGGGCTGGCTGGCGGCGGGCACGTGTGGCGTTGGCGAGAGCCAAGTGTAGGGCGGGCGTAGTGTGGTGTTTGTGTTTGTTGGGCAGGGGGCGGGGGGGAACGAGGGTAATGAAGCAAACGACGGACAAAAGCGAAAGCGTGTGTATCCAAGCAAGTGCAGTCTGTCGGCGTCCAGGTAAGCGCAGGAAATGACGAGCGAGCGTGGTGCGGATGACCGTGTGCGTGTGCGTGTGCGTGTAGCGTGTGCGAGGGTGAGGGATTAAGCACTAAGAGCAATACGGCGGCGGAGGGTCGAGTGGAGAGAGCAAGACGAATGGAATATCTATCCACGGCCAATTTTAGCCTCAACCGCCCGCCTCGCTCCTCAACCCTGCCACTCTGAGTCGACACAGCCCGCCGCCCGCCGCCCGCCGCCCACCGCCCACCGCCCATCCACGACGACGACGCTGCTGGCATTGGCATAGCTGCACTACACTACTAGCAGTCGGCCCAGACGCGTTCCCTGCATGCATCTGCTCTCCCAAGTAAAACCCCCGTCTGCGCAGCCAAACAAGGCCTCGCCATTGTGCAGAATTTGCGGCACCCCCTTCGTTCCGCCTGTCCCCTCTTGACCAGGGTGCATTCTCGCCAAAAAGAAAAGAAGGAAAAAGAGGCAAAAAAGAAACAGGACGAATATCCTCCGCATGCCTACTACTAAACAATCCCAATGGCCGCCCACGCCCACCCACGGGCCCGGCCGGCGCATGGTTGACGGCGCACAAGACGCCTTCCTTCTTCCTCTTTCTTTCCATTCGTCTCGCCATCGCTCTCCCCATTGTCTACATGTAGTCTCATCTCACTCCCATGTGGCCATGGTCGCGTGCTCGTAAATACGCATGCCATACGCCCAGCCTCGCTCATTCGTCCGAGGGGTTTTTTCGGGCCCGCCTCGACCCTGCAACGGCCTCGGCTGTCGGCATCCGCTCATTGGCCACATCCGCCCATCCGCCCTGGCTGTGATTGCACACACACACACACACTCAGACTTTTGCCCCCGTCTGGTCCTGCGTCATCTTGCCCGGCCTGGTCGCATTCGGCCTCCAAGCAAAAGCCCTGCTCAGCGCTGAAGATCTCTGCCCTCTGCGCGCCCAATAACTATCTATCCCTTCGCCCGTTGTTCCGTCGCCGTCGTCGTCGTCGCGGCGCCCCATCCTCCTCCCGCCGCCATCATGTTTGCTGCCGCCCTGTCACACGCCCCGTCTCTAACGCCCCAAGAGGCGCTTTCCGGCGTCTTCGGCTCTATCTCGCTGGCTTCGTGGATCTTTCTCTTGGTAAGTCGCTGCCTCGCACCCTCCTCAGGCACAGCCAGCTTCGTGCGTCTGCATGTCGTGGTCACGCTGCACCACCCTACACCTGCCCCCGTCCCTGTTACACACGGTGCTATTCATAGAACATGCCACGCCCACCACGCAGTCCTGGTCCCCTTCCTTCCATACACCGCTAACGCCCACATGCACAGGTCCCACAGCTCATTGAGAACTACACCTCGGGCTCTGCCGATGGCATCTCGCTCGCCTTCTTGATTGTCTGGTTCATTGGCGACATTACCAACCTCGCAGGCGCGCTCTGGGCTGGTCTCGTCCCTACCGTCATTGCCCTTGCCATCTACTTTTGCTTTGCCGACCTTGTCCTCATTTCGCAATGCCTCTACTACAACATGAAGAACGCCCGCCGTGAGCGCAAGGCCTCGACCCGCTCCACCGACAGCATCCACGCCCCTCTGCTTGGACGCCGCGACAGCAGCAACATTGGCCTCCCCGGCAGTCACAGGCGCGACTCGGCCGCCAGCCGCAGACGCCGCGCCAGCTCCCTGCCCACCATTCCCGACGTCAATGACACTTCAAGCGAGTGGCTCAAGAACACCCTGAGCATCCTCGGTGTCTGTGCCGTCGGCGCTGCAGGCTGGGCCATTGCCTGGAAAACCGGCGTCTGGGTCCCCCAGCCCACCCACGACGACAACAACGCTCCCGACGACAGTCCTCTCGGTGCCCAGATCCTAGGCTACGCAAGCGCCATTTGCTACCTTGGAGCCCGCATTCCCCAAATCATCAAGAACCAGCGTGAAAAATCCTGCGAGGGCCTTTCCCTCCTCTTCTTCATGCTCAGCTTGCTCGGCAATGCTACCTATGGTGCAGGAGTAAGTTCTTTGTATACACCTCTCAGTATTCTTTGGACTAATACATTGCAACAGATCATCTTCCACTCGCAGGAAAAACAATACATCCTGACCAATCTCCCCTGGCTCATTGGTTCTCTCGGCACAATGGTCGAAGATGTCACCATTTTCATCCAATTCCGCGTCTTTGGAACCGGAGATGCTTCTTCAGCTCTTGATGCTTGAGTCTCAATCTCTCTCTCTGTCTGTCTGTCGTCTGATGTAAAAAAAAAGTTATCTGCTTGTTTGTACATGGTATGGTCCCGAGTATTTTGACTCCCATCTATCCATCCATCTCTCTGTCCATCTATCTATCTGTCTGTATTTTGACCTGGAATGAGAGAAAGAAAAGTTTTTGTATCCATCTACATTGTTCTGGAGTTTTTGTTTTTCTTTCAGTCTAGCTTAGCGCTGTATCATCCATCCATCCATCTCCATCATTCCTATACTATCCATCCATCTATCTTCGTTCAGTTCTTGCCTCAAAGATTATACCCCATTTCTACACGCCACGAATCTTGCACAACTGGAAAAAAGAAAAGAAAATCGATGAGAAGAAGAAAAAGGAAAAAAAGAAAAGGGAGTTCAACGCCTTGGTCTGAATTACCTTTACGCGTGTATGGAGGTATAGAGTAGAAAAAGGGGGGGGGGGAAAGAAAGACTCCATCATGGTAATTCTAATCCAAAGGCCAAGGGGAAATAGAAAACCTAGTCTCTTTTAGAAGCAGCAAGCAGCAAGCAGACCAAGTAAGCCAATGCTTGTTTGTTTATTAATTATTTTCATATTGGAAATATACAATACATACACCAAGTACACGATTCCAAGTTGAAGTTTAAGAGAAAACATGAAATTCAGTTAACCCCCAAATGTCATACTTATCTTTTTTTCACTTACATTCTCCCAATACATGCTGAAATCCACCCTTTTCTTGCCATTCTACCAATTTTCTAATCCCTAGCCCTCTTTCTTACAAAGGAAAGAAAATGAGAAGAAAAAAAAAGAAAAAAAAAGGTTGACTTTGTATCAAGGATACATACATACACACACACATACTACTTGCTTCTAGGTATATATATATATATATATATAACGTATTCCACCACCGAGAGTGCCCACCCCACCGAGTGTGCCTACTTTTTCTTGGCATCGCGAACATCACAT